GTTGTATTTCCTCTGTATATTATTTTTTTAATAAATTTTTATCTAAGTAATAATCAAATATTTTCATTATAGTTTCTAGGTTAATTAATTTTTCTTCTATTCATACGTTTCGACGTGTGTAGGAAAAAGAAGAAGAGAAAATGAAAAGGATAGGAGAGAAAAAGAAAATAAAAATGATTACTTCGAAAAGTAACATGACATACGAATATTTCCATTGCAAAACTTTATAGTTTCAAAGAAGTCGTTAAAGACTCTTTCTCTCTCTCTCTCTCTCTCTCTCACACGATCATATTCTTGTTAAACCAATACCAACGTTAAAGATTTCGTGTCAGTGACTAAGTCGGCAACCTATTTAGTTGAGACCCGTGTTTTAATGGACCTCGTAAAAAGGATCGAATGAGAAGGAAAGAGATGGAGAATGCTTTGATTTTAATTACTCGAAGATTCTCTTATTTGTATTACAATTTGTAAAAAAAAAAACAGATAACAATTAAACTCAATTTTTTTTCAATTATTATTTTATTATTATCTTTAAAGATTAAATCGAATCTTTGATTCGTAATTTATAACATTTTTTTTAATGCATGAATTTGTGTCAAAAATATATAAATGATTATGCTATTATATTTTTTTAATTATGTCAAATAAAAATAATTTATCGATACAATGTTTGAATTTGATTTTAGGTGAAAAACAAGCGGCCGTTCATCACGATCAATGGAACGCAGCGTGTACCGATTATTATGAAAGAAATGGCGATCTTTTCATCTTTCTAATAACCTTTATAATATTACATACTTTGGCAATGCATTCATTGTAAATCGTGTCTTTCCTACTCGATTCATACTACCGTTACACACATATACACACACATACAAATACACGTGCTCACAGCATTCATTCTTGTAAAAGAGCTACTACGGCTTAAAACGCTGCTGTTCATTTTCACGCAATTTTCTTCCCTTTCACGTTTCTAAATAACTTCGTCGTGGTATTAGAAAACGAAGTACCTTATCGTGACCATGTCCTGTGAACAATTTTTTCTCTCTCGATCAAGCTAGTGAATAGATGAATGGTTATTATAAACGTTCAAATTAATAAATACTATTAAGCTCTATTATATAAATGAAAATCAATTTTTCTTTCTTTATATATATATATATATATATAAAAGACAAAAAAAAATTCTTTAGAGTGATTATTAAAAAAAAAAAAAAATAAAATAATTAATCATTAAATGTACTAGTAAAACATCGAATCTATTTGTAATATTAATGAAAATATTTAATAATAAATATTAAAACAAAAATATTAGTTTCTTTTTTTTCTTCAAAGAATGTAAATTGATTTGCATCATTCTCATTTTCACTGGCTTGATTGATAATATCAACTATATATTGAATAATTTTTATCGATAAAAATTATTTTTGTCTTACGACGATGATAATATACAATACTGTAAGATTATAATTTCGTTATGCGAGAAATAATAAAATATAAGTGAGTGTACGTGAGTGTTGAATAATAAGTACTCATCGAAGTTATATTTAAATTAAAAAAAAAAAAAAAAAATATTGAAAAGAGAATCGATCTGTACCTAAGTCGAGTGAAAAATGACAGTATTATTTGAAATCTCTGCGAAGAGAGTGTTTGATTGATATTATAAATATTATATATATACGTATATATTATATATAAATATATGAATGTAAGAAACTTGTATATAAGATAAAACGTTTACTGTATCGTAAGAAAATGTTCGAAATTGGGACCGAATGGGAAAGATTTCGAAATTATATGTATGTACGAAACGATTTGAATTGTAAATGTAAAAAACCTGAAAGTTATGATTAAAAACATTTCGCGATAAATTTTTTTTTTTTTAAGAAGTTAACGATATCTTGAAAATATTCATTAGTTGCATAAACTGTTTTTAAGTGCACTCGCGATCTCGTAAAATAAAGAGCTCCGAATAATAATGATACGTTGTTGTTGTTGTTTCATTTATATTTAATTACCCCAACATGTTGTAATCAAAAAAGAAAACAAAGTTCATTGATAACAAAATAGTATAAGTTATAATTGAAATTATTGAAATGTTGTTAAAATTTCAATATATTCTTAGAATATTGATAACAGTAAATGATATTATCAACTGATAGTAATTTTATCGATTATTAGTAATATACCTATTGCTAGTTAGTATACCTATTGTCGATAAAACGTTATCACTGAAAATCTTCTACATTAAAAATTATTTAACTTTAGTTATCAACTCAATGTATTCCATGATAAATCCTACGAAGTTGAACTTCCTTATCAACAGAAAATAATGTTTAATATCAACAATTTTCTTCTAAGATAACTAATATTTATAATTATCATAATATAGTAATTTATCTACAGTGATATTATCTTTGAAAATAAATTCGAATTAATTGAAAACAAAAAAATTAAATGACATAAAAACAGTTTTTGTCTTATTTAACATAACATAACAAAAAAAAAAAAAATTATTTCATAATTTTAAATAATTATACATTAAAATATAGCATTTAAAATATGCGTCTCGTTTGATGTCATTTAACAAGAAATTTATTTGACAATTTTGTGAATACATTATTTATAATAAATTTCTTTAACTTTATGATAAAAGTACAAAGTTTCAAATCGTCTTATAGTTTAAAGACAGTAGAAATTTTCGCATTATTCTAACGTCCAGCACAGAAATATAATAGACATTCTCTAACTTACATTTTGCTAAATACTAATGACCGTAAATTCAGATAGTACCTCGACACACGTTAAACCCTTTTCATGAAACTAAGTTAGAGAAGTTCCACGGAAGTTCGACATCGCGTGTATAGCCGTCTTGCGTGAAAGCTTGCACAAGGTTTTCGTGCGGTACTATGTCAAACTTATCAAGAATTTATGGTGCATCACTCTTAACAATGCGAATACTTGGTCAATATACTTAAATCTAATTTCTCTTTCTATATGAGATATTACCAAAATATACATTAAAATTATTCAATATAAATCATATTGTTAATTATTTCACTTGTTAAGATAAACTTAGACAACGATTGTTTATATAAAATCAAAACTAAATCCATCCAATTAGAACGATTATAGAAAATAATTGAAAGTAATCTAACACGAAAAGTAGACAACTTTCTATAACACGAACAAAATAGTCCTAGTATTTAATATTTATAAATAATTTACATAATATCGAATTTTAAAGTTTAATTAAACTAAACCGTGATTAATAATTACTTGTATAAACAGAGTTTTCTCCGATGTTGTTACGTAATGAGGTATTATTAGAGCAGACACGTGTATGTCCTACACGTATAACAGAACTTTACTCAAAAGCATTCTATTCTCGTGTAATCTCCATTTAATATTCATTGAATTTATACAAGTAACAAGTTTCAGCGATCGTTCTTCGGTATATCATTTACGACCAAAATTCACTATCAAAATCCATAATAAATAAATATAAAAAAAAAAAACACCAAAAATTTACAATCATTTAAGTATCACTTACTAAATACGATCTTTAAAGGTAAACGATAAAACTGTATAAATTCAAGAAATCATTTATGATAATTTTCTAATCAAAATATATACGTCGTTTAGTTTATTGTTGGTAATTTATTTATTTTCATATTGATAATGGAAGAGATACAATATACTAGATGGGTTAATACTGTACGACACAAACATAGAGATGCATAACGATGCATCGACCTCGAGGCGTAATCATTATAACGATTGCGTTTGCAGTTCTCTGACATTTCGTCGTTGTTACAGTCGTGTTAGCGAGAACAAGCGTTAAACGAACACGAGAGAGTGTTACTCACCCCCTATTTTCTTCCCCCTCGACCCTTCTGCAATTCTATTAACCGACATACTGGATAATCAAGTACACGTGTGAACATATGGTTACAAAATGTATATATATGTATACTTAGATATATATTTCTTTATATATATATATATATGTACATGTATGTAGATGCATGTACATAAATATAATCGAAGCGAAATTCTCGATAAACTTGCATTTACCCAAGTTATCGTATTAATATACTGGAGTTTGTAATAAATGAAACAACACTAAAATGGAGTACATTCGTTGAAGTATATTTTCAATTAACGTAATTACATTTACGACCAATTAACATCGGCAATAACATATTCATTGTAACGCTTGTTATGCTTACGTATACATTGTAATACATATATGTTTGTAAATATTTTTCGAACGATGTTCACTCGGTAAATGATATTATCACTTAATTATTTGATTAATAAATCAATTTCAAACAAGATCTCAAAGAATTCAAATAGAAGCTTTAAATGTTTAATTTTAAAAAGAACAATTTAATATTTCTATATAAAATAATAATGTGTTAAAAATAATACATATGTTTAAAATCATTCTTATCGATTTAACGTAAGAGAACAACTCGTATTCCAAATATGTAGAACACATATGTAAGTACATTCGACCGAAAAAAAGTAACGACACTGACCCATATTCTTGGTGTGCACGAGATTTTAACTTTTTAAGACATAATGTTGCTTTTAGATCCACTTAAAAGAATGTTTATAAAATATGACTGTGCTCGTTGAAGAAAGTGGTGGTGGTAGAAAAGAGGAAGATCTTTTACGAATAGGAAGAACATCTCTTAAATTCTTTCTTTCAAGATTTATGACAACGACGAGACTTCCACCTACGCACACGATGGGACCGCTCGAAAACGTGCAAATTGCTATTCGAAGGAAGAAAGATCGATCAATGATCGATCGATCGTTCGATCACTTCTCTACAAGTACCGACTTTTCATCGATAAATATTTCTTATTCTTTGGAAACTTTAGAGCCAGCGAACAAGAACGATAGAAGAAGAAGAAGAAGAAGAAGATGGAAAATAAGAGTGAGTGAGTGAGTGAGAAAGAGAGAGAGAGAGAGAGAGAGGAAGACAAAGTACAAGTTTTCCTTTTGCATCACAAACGTTATAACGAGGACCGTTATATGCCGTGAACGCGAAAACGACGTACGTGACTACTCGAGATTCTCGATGAGAACGATAATCCAATTTTTCTCTCCCAATGATGTTCAACCGCTATCGTACAATTTCATTTTTATCGTAGAACACGTTGAAAATTACACTCACACACATATACACGTACACAAACCTAATAACTGATTAACGATTATTGCTGATATTTTCTTTTTTTTTCTTCTTCTTTCTGAAAATCTACCTTTAATTTTTCGTACGTTTTAATTTATAAAGAATAATTGGTTTTCCATTTATAATTATTCTCACTTATTCGGGTGAGATTTCTTAAACGATTTGTTAATGATCAAATTTTTTTACGAAACGATATGGAAAAATGTGGGATAGAGAATCACAGTCTATCGACAGTTAAAATTATGAGAAGGTTTTAGAAAAGTGTGCTAATGAATGTGTGTGTGTGTATTTGTGTATAGATGAGATACATCGATCGGTAGTAATTGGAAGATACGTTTGTTCACGAAAATATGAGTGGTGATGTTACATATCTCGAAAGTGTTCGAAAAATTCGATATGATTGCTAATTAATCAAAAGAAATGTGTGTTGTAATTTAAAAACACTGTGTATAGGTTCGACGTACCTTCCTCTCCGAAATCCAATAGTAAACTGAATCGTTGTCCTCTATGTAAGTATTTTCAATATACTTCTATTCAAGATTGTTTATATATTTATAACGAAAGTAATAAGCGTACAGAACAGAGTTTCCTTATTTGGAATGTCATATAAACAACATATAATAAAAACTTTTTCATAGAGGACAATAACTCAGTTTATCGTTGGATTTCGAATGAACGAATGTGTCGAACGTGTACTAAGTGTTTTTAGACTAAAATATATAATTTCTTCGATTAATTAACAATCATTTAAGGTATGTATAATGCACTACTGTACATTATTAATATTTTAGATTTTTTAATTTGAAATACAATTGTTTCAACATTGTTTAACATACATAAAAGTGATAACTTGTAGTTTCATATTTTCATCTAATAAATTATCTTATTAAAATTATTTAATATTTATAGTATTATTAATAGA